AAATATAAAATCATAGCTATTTTTGTCACTCGCCCCGTTTTATTATTATAATTCATAAATTCATGTGCAGTGCGTTCAACATAAATAACTCAACATGCACCCCCCCTTTTTTTTATCCAAATCAAATCTTCAAATGATGATACCCTAACAGATGGTCTCCTGTGCTGTATGCTTGATCTTTAGCAACCTTTTCTTTTAAAAAAAAATCTATAATGATCGGCAACCCCAGATGCCACCATTGAAATATCAGTAAAGGGCCTCCGGTGATAAATACTACTAGCTAGCAGCCATCTAGGGCGTACATGGCAGTGTCGAATTCTTGAACAGTACTAGATTTTGGTACCATGTCATGGTTTCAATGAAGCAGTTTTTCTACACCAGCATTGTTTAATATCCAATTAGCACTAATTGATCATCAGGTGTTGTCACGTCATTGATATATGTTGAATCAAATATACTCTCCTTTTTTCCCCACAGGTACACATCATGTTTTCCTTGAAGTTTCTTTCGGAGACTTTGAAAACCTTGCCACAAGGACCCTTTACCTGCCGACCGAACTCGATCGACTGATTTATAAAACGGTCGAAAATCATCAACCACACCACTTTTATATGCCAGGGTCAAGTCACCCTTGGCTATTTTTTTCCAATGAATTTTTGCTATAATTATGTTCCTAGTTTCTACCACTTTGATCCTTTGATTGTTCACACAAGGTTAGGCTTTTGAAAGGGACCCTGCACACATATGCTCGGAAGGGAAATGTTAATTAATTGTCAGGATTTTAAAAGCTAGCCAGGTGCATGGTCTGCATTCTAATAATCAAAACGAAGACCCACCAAGAACAATCAGAAAGACTGACCTTATGACGAGTGACGATGTACGACTGGTATGGGTGAGGCTAGCTAGTTACCTTTCACGGGCACCATGGGGCCATAGGGGTTAGCCGATTTGTCCGTTTATGACTTTAATGGGAAAGAGTGATCAGGGGGGGTGGCGCATCATGGTCGTATACCATGCATTTATATGTTCATGAACAACTGGCTCCATTTATTCCATTATTTCTCTGCTTGCGCACCGCACCAGCAGCCATACGATGCGTGGAGGCGTGGAAACATGCATGAAGATGCAACCTGTGATTCTGAATTATTGGCTGCTGTGATATTTAATTGAGCTAGGATCGGATCCACTTTGTAGTGGAGAGCCACCTCATGGGCATAATTAGGCATGTATCGTACATAAAATAAACTATTGTAATATGTCAGAAATTATAATACTAATAAAAAATTTATTCGTTCAGGACTGGTTTCTGTTGGTATTGAAAGCCTTATACATATTCTTTATAGATAATTGTTTTCTTAGTTATTGTATACTGTAAAGATCGAGTGTTCTTGACATTCGAGCTTGATTTTTTTTTTTAAATAATAAGTAAATTGGAGATTATGTTTGTATTATATTTAAAACTACAAATTCAAAGTATACTGAATAAATTAATCTTGCACATGCAGCATTTCTCTGGTGATGATAAACTTCCTTTGTTGTGGCAGCTAAAATTGCGCCACTCTCGGTTTGCCTTTTGATGCATATAGAATAATAAGTTTAAGATACTCGATTGGTTTGGTCAGGCATCTCGATCTTGAAATTGAACAAGTTGTTTGATAATAAAATCAGGTTTATAATTCTTTAACAGCTAGGTTGAAGGCATGAGGATGGAAGAATGGGTGATCAGACGATAGATATACTATCTGTTTTTATATTTTAAAATTATTTTTTTAAAAAAATTATTTTTTATTTTTGTGTTTTTATATAATTTTAATATATTGATGTCAAAAATAAATTTTTAAAAATATATATTATTTTAATATATTTTTAAATAAAAATATTTTAAAAATAATCATTCCCACTTGATAATATTGTTGATTGTGTATATTTTTTCTTGATAATAGATAATTGAGAGTTAACCGGGGGTTTAAAAAAGATATATAAGTTAAAAAAAGTGATTTTAAAAATCATGATAGTGGCTGGGTTTTTTTTTATGTAAGTAATGCATCATAAATTACGCGAGTTAATTTATTATTAAATATTTTAAAAAATAAAAAATATTCTCAATAAAAAAATAATTAGTTGTCTCTTTATTAATTTTTATTTTTTACATAGAACGGGGACTGATCTCGGCTCTTAATCAACCGTGTAACACGCCGGACAGTCTTGGTTTAAGCAGGAAATGATTGCACCACCTCTCAGCTGCTTCAGTATGTGCACTGCTCTCTTTTCCCATGAAAAAAAGAGGTGGCCAATGCAGCCTATGTCTGGAGGGGGTTTCACGTTCTACATGGGAGACCGGCACCCGGAGGTCATGTGAAGCTTGTCTCTGGCGAGAGCCTCCCGACACTTTCTTTAAATCTTGGTCCATTTTCAATGTCTCCCTGCACCATTGGAGAAAAGAGAAGGAAAAAGAAAACGTTCTCGGTGCTTCTCGTGCGACTTTGACTCCTAAACTTCTTGTAGCCACCATCTTGGCTTTTCTTTAAAGCAAAATCCGCGTTGGCAGGCCAAATTTGACCTCTTCTTTCTTGCTTCCAAGAAGCTGCTCCCTTCCTTGATCAACAGCCTGACCGTTTGCTATCATTACTCGATAACAAGAGCGGTCCTTGATCAACAGCCTGACCGTTTGCTATCATTGCTCGATAACAAAAGCGGTTTTTGAGTCTTGACCGGTCTTGATACGTGCGTTAGATGTCGTCACGGGTATTTCTATTTTTGGACAGGTTTATTCTTAACCCTATCACAAAAACTGTATAATAACTTACCGTGTTGGACCATAAGCCGTTCGGTAACGGGGCTTTTTCCAACCCACCGGAGCTTCAAGCTTCAGGTGGGAAAAAAAAAGGAACAGGTAATTGATAGGGGGGGTTGTTTAGAGGCTCGAAGACATGCCATGTCTCTCTTGTACACTTCAGATCGGGGCGATCATGGTCCGTTATTTTTATTAAAAAACATAACTGATATTGACTTAATCCAGTTTGGAATACTTGATTTGATCAAGATCTTCGTCATGATTGATTGATTTAATTCTACTGGGCTTCATACTCGTAGAAAACCGTGCCAAATTTAAACATCGATGTATTTGCTAGGTAGCGGGGAAATGGATACCCCAATGACTGGGCTTGATCTTGGGCTTGTCAACCACCATTCCTGGTCTGGATTTAGATTGATTTATTAGGACTTCACCACACCACCCAGTAGGCATAGGCCTTTTTGCCTTCTCTGTTTGCCTCTTTTCCCTTGATCTCCTTTTTTCACCCACCCTATATATGTATAGTTTGGATTGCTTTTCACTCAAACCATCAATAAAAATCGTTTCTTGAAAAACACGATCTCACACCAGCCTTGTTTAGATGAGTAGATTTCTTTAAATGATGGCCTTAATATTTAATCTACAGAAATTAAAAAATTGAATCACTTTAATTATCAAATCATTGTGTCGGAGTTCAACATTTTCAACACAGACATGAGGAGTCCAGCCTGAAGAATTTTGGAGTATTCCACCAAGGAGATCTCACTGGCCATTTTTTCTGAGATATGTTTTAGAATAACACTGATTTACAAAGATTTGACAGAATAGGGTGGTTTTATCTTGTCAGTTTAAAAAATATAATATTTATTAAATATTTTAATTTTTTAATATAATAAATTAATTATTATTAATAAAATTATGATATTTATTAAATATCACTATTTATGACCGTGGTAGGTTAGTTATTAAATTTTTAAAGTACAAAAAGGTAAAACTTCAATTATTTGACTCAATTAATCGGCTAGATTTAGTTAAATAAATTAATCACCTGTTTCGTATAAAAACTATAATTTAATAAATATTTTCTTTTATATATCTTTATAAGTTAAAGTATATACATTTATCAAGCTTATAGTTTCAAAAATAAATTTTAGTTAAAATTTTAAAAAATTATTATTCATACAGTAACTATTATTTATTTTTCAATGTCAATAAAATAATCAAATTTGTAATAACAAATAATTATGAACAATCATATATGAGTTTATTATAACTAAATACATATATATATTCAAGATATATTACGTGAATGGTTTAATAAATGTGTCTATAAACTATTACAGCAGGTCTATGTCTAATACAAGATATGATCACGTCATATTAAAGTAACATCTTAAGAGGTCTATAACTTTTAATTTAACTATTTAATTACATTTAATTTTTTATAGGAGTTTTTAAAAACTGTTTTCTCCACAATAGTCACTGTATTGTTGCACAGACTAATAAATATATAAAAAATATGGTTGAAATTCTATAATTTTAATAGTTTTTAGGTTTTTATTATTATTTTTAAAATCGTATGATTGATTTTACTAAATATTATAAACAAATCACTTGATTGAACGAGATAATTACAGTTTTATGTTATTATATTTTAAAAATATAATATTTACTAAATAATATTATTCTAAAACAGGATAAGATAATTATCATGTTTAAAAATAACAACACTGAGTAATCATAACAAGATAAAAAAGTTCTAGTTTTGCCAAAACATTTTGCTGCTGTATTAATCTTCCAATTGTTTTGATTTTACACTCTAATTTCCCAATTTGTCCCATTCTACGATCAAAATCAAACCAACCAGGCCCACCTCCACAGGACCCATCACTCATTCAACCCCACAATGCACCCACTACACCAAAATTAAACTTCGGGTCCCACCCTTACCCCGAGAAATGAACGCATCCACACTTGCCATAACGACTTTCAAGTTTTTGGGTCGTTTGTGGGGCTCGCCCTCTTAACTCGCGCCAAAATACAACGAGACCCACCTGGGGCCGTGCATGGATAGCAACGACCATGATGGCATCTGCAACAGATAGTAACCAGGACACGTGTCAGGAACTCAGCTAGGTGACACCAAAAAGAAGAGAAAGATCCAACGACTGATATTTACTCCCAGGGGAAGGAAAAGAGACTACTTGGCATTTGCAAGGTTGCTTATTTAAATGGAGGACTCCCTCCTCGCCGGCCCGTGCCTGTCAAAAGCATTACAATCATTTTACTGTGAAACTCATGAAAGCCTTTTGGGATATCTGTGTCTAATAATTCCTTACCTTTTCAATACTCTCTCTACCTTTGGAATTCCTTGTCTTTTTGACGAATCAAGAAAAATCATAAAGAAATGGGTGCTCTCGATCATTTGCCTGACTTCTTCGACTGCTCTGGTGGTGGTTCCAAGCACAAGAAACGAAAGAATTTGCAGGTAATATTGCCACAACTCTTTACTCTTACTTTTACTCCTACTCTTCTTTTTTTATATACACAAGCTAAAGAAAGAAACTTTTTCTCGATAGAACAAGCAGCCAGCATGAGCTCTTGAAATATGGTTGGTTTCATAGTTAGAACACGCAAAAAATTGGCTCGTTGTCTTGTCTACTGTATATGTGGTTCTTTCCTTGGACTTGAGATTTGGATCTGAGTTGATTTTTAAGCTGAAGTGCGTTTTTGGCACGGGGCAAAAATGTTTAAAATTATTATTTTTTAAATGATTTAGGGTTTTGATGTTTTCATGCATGTAAAAAATAAATTTAAAAAATAATATTATTCTAATTTATTCCTTAAGTGAAAAGTTACTGAATTTTCAAACACAGTAGAAAAAGGAAGGATATATTTTAATAAAAATAATCGAAACATGCCTTACAAATTCACTTATTAACCCAATAACGTTTTTTCATTCTTTTCAGAGTAGTCCCTGTACCATACGTGACATTTATGGATTTACCCGTGCACTAATAATGGATTGAATTTTAAGAAGATGAGAAGACGCTCATTATGCTCATCAAGGACCTAATAAAGTGAAAATGATTTCTCCCAAAAAGTAAGGGCATTTTGGTGTTTTACTGATGAAAAAGGAAAATCCATGACAAATCTGGTGCCCCCGCCAAATTTTCTAATGTTATAATTCTCGTTTTTTGATTTTTTTTGAATTTTTTACAATACAAAAAATAATTTTTTGAAAATAAAAACAATATTATTTTCATATGTTTTTAAATAAAAAATATTTTTAAAACATTAATTACCATACTAGCATGCACCACCTTAGTTTAAACGCTCACAATACGTGATTGGTTTAATGTGATGATCAGACGGTGGAAGTTAAGGTCCGCATAGACTGTGAAGGATGTGAGCGCAAAGTGAGGAGAGCACTAGAGGGGATGAAGGGTGTGAAGCAAGTGGTTGTAGAAAGAAAGGCAAACAAGGTGACAGTCGTTGGATATGTGGAGCCATCAAAGGTGGTTGCTCGCGTGGCACATCGCACTGGTAAGAAGGCAGAGTTGTGGCCATACGTGCCATACGATACGGTGGCCCACCCTTATGCACCTGGGGTTTACGACAAAAAGGCCCCTGCTGGGTACGTGAGAAATGCTGAGGACCCACAGGTGTCCCAACTAGCACGTGCGAGCTCTTTTGAAGTTAGATACACCACCGCTTTCAGCGATGAGAACCCTGCAGCTTGTGTTATTATGTGATGATCATTATTGTAATTAGTTGTTTTCTGTGCTTTGATTTTAGGGCTTGCAATTATTAATTTCTTTTTTAATTTTCCTTGTCTTGTATGCCGTGGTGAAATTATTTTGTATTTGTATCTTCTTTGTTTTTTTTTTTTTGTCTTTTGACCTTGTTAAGAAATTAAATATTTGTCTGCTTTGGTGCATTATCTGTACATTGTGATGAAACACTTTCAGTTTGATAAGATTTTTGCAATGCCATCACTTTTATTTTTTCAATTAATATTAGAATATTCTTCTCGAACTTTCCTCTCAGAGCCACAGAAGTGAATATTATCGTGTGCTAGTAATTCAGTACGTGTAAATATTTATTTTTAAAGAATTGTTTGCTTTCTTTAGAAGCAATAATTTTAACAAATAAATTGGATTACGTAAACTCTCTGAAAGTCAACGACTTGTAATCACCAACAAGAGAGTCAGATCTGTAAATGAAAACGATTTGAAGCCTGTAGAAGTTTTATTTCCTTTCCTTTCTTTGTTTGTTTTTACATTTAGACATGGCCATCATGCTTGGTTTAAGGGCTGCCTTCAAGAAAAACTTTATAACGAGAGACAAATTATTTTTATTAAAAGGGCTTGGTTTTTTAGACTCACTTCTGATGATCTCCCCAGCTGGTTCTCGGGACTCAAGAAACCGTCGTCTTTCTCCGTTCACAGGCTGGTTCTCGGGACTCACACTTCTGGCAATTTCCCCTACCATCCCATGATTGCTGGTGTTGTGCCATCCACTGCGGTCGATGAAGATGGCAACAAAAGCAGCTCTGCGAATTCTGTGATTGCTGAGGCGAGGTTTGGCTTGGGGGGGGTGGGTTTGAGCGAATATTTTTGGAAACCAAAGCCGACTTGAGTTCAGATAAGTGCAATTTTTGAAAGCTGAAGCACACAAACCAGAAGCTAGACTGGGCCAATGACAAGCATTAAAAAAAATAAAAAAATGGGTACACTACGTACGTTCCAGACATCATCTAGTAGTTGGAAACAATCACTTACATCATCTAGTAGTTGGACACTTTAACTTTTTTTTTTAATAATATTAAACTCTACATTGTCTTGTCTGTGCAGAAGAAACCAGGTTGTGTCCTGTGTTCTTGATGTCCTTTATGCGGCTTATTTATTTACGAGAGTTGCAGAGGATATGTTTCAAGTTCTAATTTTTAAAAAGTATTTTAACAAAAATATTTTAAAAAAAAATCAAGTCAACACTGACAACAGGCAACATAGGTTATAAACTATACCGAATTAATTTTTTATTTTAATATATTGTAAAAAACATAAAAAAAAAATAATGTATAATTAAAAAATTTTTAATATATTGTAAAAAACATAAAAAACTATTTATAATTAAAAACTATTAAATAATAAATTTAAAAAAATCCAGATACACGCGGGTTTCGATGTTTTTAAAAATAGAAAGCGACAGGCTGCAAATTCACCAGCGGGCACAGATGATAAACTTGATTCGCAAAACATATTAATCTGGTAAACTGTTGATGTAGCCAATTAAACAACTGGAAGATGCACGTCATGTGGTGTCGAAGCTCTATTTTATTAATAATTAAATGCTTGAAACAGTAAATTCGGAAGAAAGATCCGCATCGAAGGCAACCCCACCTGGTGGAGGGTGTGACATCAAGTGTGACATGGGAGATAAGATTTGGTAAATACACGCGCTTTGTGCCAGTTGCTGGATAACCTCAATGGGCATCCACTTGCCCCTGCCATGCCGTCCAGCTGTGCCATTGTACAGCCGAAAACTAAGAAAGAAGAGCCGCTAGTTACATGGTGTTTTAGCTTGCGTTCCAACTGTCTTTTTATTTTTCATTTTTTTAAATAAATATATATTTTTTTAAATTATTTTGATATATAAACATTAAAAATAGATTTTGAAGATTCAAATGTTAAAATACTTTTTTGTCTTTGAAATCTAAAAAAAAATATTCTTTTTATTATAGTTTGTTTTATCTTTTTATTTTTATTTACACATTAGAATAACACTTATATCATTAGTTGTTCAGATAAATAATTTTATAAAAAAATTTATTTATTTTTATATTTTTTTAATAAAAAATCACATAATTAACCTCTGAATTTTCAAAAAAATAACTTTAGAGGACATTTTTATCATTGTGCTGTGTATGTTTTGTGATAATGGTAAGCCATTCAGTCTTTGTTTTTTTTTATTTAGCTTATTTAAATATTAATAAATCTGCAAATATATTGATGCATGCCACGAAAAAACTCAATCCCCGTCTTATCTGATGTGCAAGGATGTGACTCAAATAGTGAGGTGGCGTGTCTTTTGAGGTAGATAATGGTTCGGCAATGATAGGTTTTACCTCCACCCGTTGTTTTTCCCTCTCAAACCTTAGTTTTCATGTCAGATGTTTAAAAATTTAGTTATATCCCTCATTTTATACTTGTTTTAAGCCTGGTCTCGATTTTTTTAACTGTCATTTTTTATCATTTATATTTTTTATTTTATTTTTTAGATTTTTTACTTATTTTTTAAAATTTTGGACCTCATTTTTTTCATTATTTTTTTCTATTATTTTATTTTATCTTTTAATTTTTTAATTTAATTATTAATTATTTTCTTTCAATTATTTTTTATGCAAGACTTGGTGCTTGTTGTTTATTTAAAAATTAAAATTATAATTATGTAGATATTTTTTTTAAAGTCATTGGCAACAAATAAAAAGAAATATAATAAAATTCATGAATAAATATAGATTAAGATATTTAATATTGTAATATGTATTATTTACTCAATTATATTTAATGAATTTACTTATTAAAATCAACTTGTGATAGAAATTGACACACAAGTAAAATTTATTAAATAAATTAAAAATAAGAATACATACCATGTAATATTGTATGTTCAAAATATTATAAAAAATAAATCTTTTTTATTTTTATAAATAAATTTAATATATAAAAAATAAAATGAATCATGCTAATCTCTTTAAAAACCAAACACATATAACATAATTAAAAAATAATCAATCTTTAAAAAAGATTAAGCAAGCATCCAAAAAAATGACATGGAAACGAAATACAAGCTTAAAAAAATATTTTAAAAAAGCACTTAAAAGTTTGAATTTGAAAAAGCTCAAAACTACATAAAAAAGTAAAAAAACAAAACCAAATCATGCAGCCTACCCATGAATAAAATGTCTGCGCGTGCAGGGATTTTTTTTTTTAAGGTAATGGAGCAGATGATATACTGTTTATCCCAGTTCAGCTTAAAAAACATAGATGAGGTGTCATTTATAATATCTAAATCTCAGCCACTGTGATAACTATAAAAAAAGGCTACATGAAAACCTATTTTCAACTCCAAGTATGTAGAGAATATATCATAAATTTTATTAAATTAATTCGTATTATTTAAAAGCATAAAAACCCACATAAAACTAAAAATTAACTCGGAACTAAAAATCTTTCAAAGCTTGTTTCTAAGATACTTTTAAAATTAAAAAAACATATAATTTGAATTCTCATTATCATATTAAACACTTGAAACATGAGTCTACCATGATGGTGTCCATAATTATTGTAAGAACAACGTTTTTTATTCATGTTGGAATAAAACGATCACCTCTCTTTCCTTTCATCCAAAAAAATTTAAAAATAATAAAAATGAAGTTTATTCAAGTTTACATTTTAAATAAATTTGAATGCCACTGCCTCTTTTACCCACATTTTCATCTCGATGCTCTTACTTTAAATCAATCATCTATTGAAAAAAAAAACCTTGCAACATGGTGTTAACTTAGCTGAGAACGGGCTCAATCATGTAAAAAAAAAAATTAATAATAAAGGATAAAATTCAAAATAAAAATTACTTTAGCTTTATTATATAGTGATTTGTAAAATTTCATGCATGTAAAAAATAAATTTAAAAAATAATATTATTCTAATTTATTCCTTAAGTGAAAAGTTACTGAATTTTCAAACACAGTAGAAAAAGGAAGGATATATTTTAATAAAAATAATCGAAACATGCCTTACAAATTCACTTATTAACCCAATAACGTTTTTTCATTCTTTTCAGAGTAGTCCCTGTACCATACGTGACATTTATGGATTTACCCGTGCACTAATAATGGATTGAATTTTAAGAAGATGAGAAGACGCTCATTATGCTCATCAAGGACCTAATAAAGTGAAAATGATTTCTCCCAAAAAGTAAGGGCATTTTGGTGTTTTACTGATGAAAAAGGAAAATCCATGACAAATCTGGTGCCCCCGCCAAATTTTCTAATGTTATAATTCTCGTTTTTTGATTTTTTTTGAATTTTTTACAATACAAAAAATAATTTTTTGAAAATAAAAACAATATTATTTTCATATGTTTTTAAATAAAAAATATTTTTAAAACATTAATTACCATACTAGCATGCACCACCTTAGTTTAAACGCTCACAATACGTGATTGGTTTAATGTGATGATCAGACGGTGGAAGTTAAGGTCCGCATAGACTGTGAAGGATGTGAGCGCAAAGTGAGGAGAGCACTAGAGGGGATGAAGGGTGTGAAGCAAGTGGTTGTAGAAAGAAAGGCAAACAAGGTGACAGTCGTTGGATATGTGGAGCCATCAAAGGTGGTTGCTCGCGTGGCACATCGCACGGGTAAGAAGGCAGAGTTGTGGCCATACGTGCCATACGATACGGTGGCCCACCCTTATGCACCTGGGGTTTACGACAAAAAGGCCCCTGCTGGGTACGTGAGAAATGCTGAGGACCCACAGGTGTCCCAACTAGCACGTGCGAGCTCTTTTGAAGTTAGATACACCACCGCTTTCAGCGATGAGAACCCTGCAGCTTGTGTTATTATGTGATGATCATTATTGTAATTAGTTGTTTTCTGTGCTTTGATTTTAGGGCTTGCAATTATTAATTTCTTTTTTAATTTTCCTTGTCTTGTATGCCGTGGTGAAATTATTTTGTATTTGTATCTTCTTTGTTTTTTTTTTTTTGTCCTTGACCTTGTTAAGAAATTAAATATTTGTCTGCTTTGGTGCATTATCTGTACATTGTGATGAAACACTTTCAGTTTGATAAGATTTTTGCAATGCCATCACTTTTATTTTTTCAATTAATATTAGAATATTCTTCTCGAACTTTCCTCTCAGAGCCACAGAAGTGAATATTATCGTGTGCTAGTAATTCAGTACGTGTAAATATTTATTTTTAAAGAATTGTTTGCTTTCTTTAGAAGCAATAATTTTAACAAATAAATTGGATTACGTAAACTCTCTGAAAGTCAACGACTTGTAATCACCAACAAGAGAGTCAGATCTGTAAATGAAAACGATTTATTTCCTTTCCTTTCTTTGTTTGTTTTTACATTTAGACATGGCCATCATGCTTGGTTTAAGGGCTGCCTTCAAGAAAAACTTTATAACGAGAGACAAATTATTTTTATTAAAAGGGCTTAAGCTTTAGTATCTTTGATATTGATTGAATGTCATCTTTGAAGCCACTAATAAAGTTGGAGATGTAGTATGATTTTGATAGTAAAGGTTTCAAGGTATGTATTAGAGACTTCAGCTTCTTAAACCTTTTAACATACTTTTATACCCTTTTATCATGCATCAAATTGTTAAACTCCTTCACCACATCCTTTTTATTGCTAAATCTTATACAAATAGATTAAACAAATATCTTCCAATTAGTATGGTCATGATCTCGTATTTAGAATCCTTCAAATCACACTTATGTCTTACCCCTTAAGTAAAGTGAAGCTATTTCTACTCATTGATGAATTAGAGTGAAATATAATTTAAAAAACTTTCAACATTTCTTTATCCATCCTTGTGGATTATCTCCATAAAATGTACATAACTCTACTTTTGATTAAGCCAATTTATATATACTCTTATGGATTTTATTAATATCCATAGTTTAATATTGAATGTGATTCTATTTTAGGCGACTCATTTCTCTAGTATTAGCTTGATTCATTTTATCCTTCTCAGCTTCTTGTCATAACCTCTTGTTATCAATTACGAAATCTTGCAATTCTTGAGGAAGAGCTTGTATTCTTTCATCCAATTGGCCGCCATACTTTTTTAAAACTCTAACTTTATTATTTTTCATTATTTTTAGGTGATGTTTTCTTCTATAACTATGTTGGATTCAAGTCTCTAATACTAATTTTTTAAGAACTCATTTTAACAAAGAGTTAGTGTAGTAAGAATAAGAGAATAGGAGGTAGGTTAAATGAGAAGAGAAAAAACTCTGTAAAAATATAAAACAGATATTGTATAAACTTGATTTTCATTTACATCGTATGCTTTAATTTATATAATCATTCCAACTAACTAAATGATCCTTCCAATTGTTAAATTACCTTTTTTCTATTGTGTTTAGTTTAGCGATAATATATGCTAACAAACTTTTACCAACAACTTTTCCCATCATTCTTTTTCTTTGTTTACTTTTTATTTTATTTTTTTTCTTACTCGTGCCACTATTATATCACCCTGTCTATAGCATAATAATAAATAAGCTAAAAGCATCATTTTTTTCGTACAAACATAATTGAGCTTGATTATTATTTAGAAAAAAATTACTTCAAAGTCACACACTAATATCAAGTTTATTTATCATCTATTTAAAGATACTTAAGGCAACTTATCTATCTTAAACATAGATTTAAGATAAATTGTAGTTCTTAATATTTAGTTTCATTGGCTTAACTTTAATGTCTAATAAAAAATATATACTGACCATCCAGTTAAACCGTATAAGATTATATACTTATTATTTTGTTATATATTTGTTCATTTTCTTAATACTTTGAAATAACTAATTGCTCTTGAAGATTAATTTAACTAGTAAATGGTTTGAATCATAAGAGAGATTATTAGAAATATAGTCTCCATGATATTATTAATTTTTTGAATCCCATAAAATACTAAAAAATGAACTTTTCATGAATATACCAATAGATACATAAGATGTATTTTTATCCCAACTAAGAAGGATTTAAACTTTAATGAAAAATAATGAACTTGGCAACAAATACCTATCCTTAAAAAAATAATTAATTTGTATTTTGAGATAGAGCATGCTTGGAAATGTAAATAAAAAAATAAAAAATTAATTTTCAAGAAAGAGATTTGTATATGGTTAGTTATACCTAACCTCATCACTTACTTATATCACATTTACAAATACACTTTAAGATCTTATTTGTTTTTATGATTGGAAAGAGTTTTTGTAAAAATAATTATGTTTTTTTAATTATATATATATATATTATTTTTAGGTTGTTTTGATGTATATAATAATTTTAAAAAATAATTTAAAAAATAAAAAAATATTATTTTAATAAATTTTTAAAAAACACTGATATATTACCACAGTATAAAAAAGGATTCGCTAAGCAGACCGCACTGACCTGACCAAGAAAGTTAAAGGCTGAAGAGAGACAACTTCACGGATTGACCATCTTGGAAAACCCAATTAAGAAGGTCGAGGGAGCAAATTAAGGACCTAGCGAATCCTTCATGCTGCCGTTGCACACATTATACAGTTTGCTAGCCGATCCCTTTAGCCATAACCCCCATCTTTATTGGATACTGCAACTTCAAAAAGGGAGTTATCGTAACTTGTGTAATCATTATTTTACTCTTATTGATGAACTTCATCAGTTGGAAAATGGAAGAATGCATGCACGGGGAGTGCGAATCGTTTTCTCTTGATCATGATATTCCCGGCATGATTTCTACTTTTTACTATTTTTTTTTCTTTTTAATCTTAAAACTGACTGCCAAATTGTAATTCAAATGTTTGTATAGAGCATTTCTGGGCAAAAAGTAGTGAAAGCTAGTTAAAAAATCTGCTGCTCAGGTCTCTTAATCCAGTAATACAATGTCAACAAGGATTTGGAGACCGAATTTTCTTATATCAGATCATGTATTTCATGCCTTGGGACTTCTTTTCTCTCTGATTGTGCGACTGTGCTTTTTGGTAGCATAGCTCAGTTTTCTCATTTGCCCATGATTAAAACCTGCGGAACCTCAAGAACATTTTGTGTTAGAATTAGGCTATCTCAAACACAGCGATACCCTGCACTTAATAAATTTATGAGATTCATTAGGTGGTGAAATTAGCATTAGCATTATCTTCTCCGGGATTTCTGTTCACTTCTTCTGTTTTCAAGGGATTGGTCATCAAAGGTTTTCTGTTTTTCCTCTTTTCTAAGTTCATAAGTCCAGCATTCATGAAAATATATGAAACCAGCATGATGTATACGTACATGAGATCATATGTAGACATTAATTAGATAAGTGGCTTCGCTATGCCAAGATTGGGGTCAATTTGTTTCAACTTAAGAAAAAGTTAAAAAAATATATATATATGAGACTTAAGCTGCCCAAGCATTCCTAAAAAAGAAAAAAATAATAAAACTTGGGACATTTACTTGATAGAGTTTAATAAGTTTAGCTAATTAATTTAATAATACAATAAAAAAATACAAAAATAATAAATAAACTAATAAAAAAATGACAATGATCAACTTATAAATTAGATCAACTTATAAATTAAATGTTTACCAATACCATAGAAAGATATTCTCCAAATACTCTTTGAAGGTTTCTATGATTTTATTTGATAATGAAGCAAAAATTACATGAGAATGTGATAATTCTATAGAAAACAAAATGAAAAAAAAAACTCATAGCTCAATTTCTAGCAAATTAAAAGTTGAATAATAAAATTAATATATATAATTTAAAACATGGCAAAAAACCCCTACTCAAGTCCACTTGAGTTAGCGTATCAAATTTATGACATAATCATGATACCCTACTAACCTTATCAAAAGAAAATTGAATAAAAATATAAAACTCAATTATCCAAGTTAACCTATTAAACTCGTGACTTGAAATATATGATCGAAATAACCCCATAAAAAGAAAAGTTACAAAATATAGCATGAAGATCAATTTTCAACCAACTAAATAATAAAGGATAAAATTCAAAATAAAAATTACCTCAGCTTTATTATATAGTGATTTGTAAAGGAATAAATAATGATCCTAGCTGTGAGTTTTTTTCCCGTGATGCTTAATTTTAGTTATAATATTTTTCCTTCAAGTATAGTGATTTTAGTGTTTGGTTGCTATTTTATAATAGAAAAGACGGAACTTGAGGTATATAGACATACTTGGTCCCGGATATGGAGATAAAAATTGGTTTTTACATGTATATATTTGTCTATCCCTCTAGCAAAAGGAAGATAGAGATGACAGAGACACAGCCAAAATATTTTATTTTTTCCACAAGCATTCATATTAACACTTTACAATTTCAATCTTTATTTTTACTTTTAGATTTAGATCATTAATTTTAGCTAATTTATTTCCACCAATAGATCTAAAAACTGTAAAATACAAAACAAAAATCAGAAAACATGAGAAATATAGACAAGAGAGGAGAAAGGTAAACTACGAGGCAAAAGGAATCCAACTAGTTTACCTATCGAGATTGTTACAGGATGAAAGCTCTCATCTTAAACAGCTCATAAACATTTAATCGGGAATTCTATCACCTGAATTGGAGATACGTGAATTTGAAGTTCTATATTAAAAAAAGTAATGATAAATATCCTTAAATCCTTTTTTTAAGTGTTTTTTTACTTAAAAATATATCAATATATATATTTTTTAAAAAATTATTTTTAAAATCATTAAATTAAAACAATAAAAAATATTAAAAAATTAATTTTTTTTAAAAATGTAATTTCAAACGCGTTAGAAAACCGTGAATAACTATTTAACTTCGCAAACCTTTTCCAACGTGACAACCTCTGAACGGACCAAAACATAAACCTCTGATCCGATCCTAACCAAGAAAAAAATAAAACATTCACACTAACCATAACCCAGTTTCAAGTTTCTGGCGTTTGTGGGGCCCACTCCAGAGGTCGTGCAACGGGACCCACTTGATGTCGGTATATGGACAGGAACGAGCCACCAGCCATGATAGAATCCGAAGAGGCAACTAGGATGCGTGCCGAGAAGCCAGCACAATGACACACAAAGAAGAAAAAAAATCCGACGACTGATAGAGCCCAAGAGACCCACTTGCAAGGTTGCTTATTTAAATGGAGGACTCCTCAAATGATATGTCCGTCAAAAACTTTCCTAATATTTCACGCCCTTTTCTAATCCCTTTGGTGCCTTTCCGTGCATTAATTCTTTATATTTTCTATACTCTCCCTGTCTTAAGGATTCCTAATCCTTTTCACGAACAAGTTATAAAGAAATGGGCGTTCTTGATCATATGTCTGGTATCTTTGACTGCTCTCGTGGCAGTTCTAGGCACAGGAAATACAGGCAATTGCAGGTATGTAACATTTTGCCGACTCTATTCTCGTATTCTTCTCTTTTTTACATATATAAGCTAAAGAGAAAAACCTTGTTTAGATAGAACAAGCAACAAGCATGAGATCATGAGATTCCGTCGGTTTCATAGTTATAACATGTAAGCAATTGCAGGTATGTGTTATTGCCACAACTCCTTAATCTCACACTTTTTTTCTTTTTTTTTATATATATACAAAGCTAAAGAAAGAAACTGTCTTGACAGAACAAGCTACAAGCTTGAGCTCTAGAAATTCAGTTGGTTTAATAGTTAGAACATACAAGCAATTCGTTCGTAGTCTTATCCATTGTGTCCTTGAATCTTTCCTGTGGGATAATTTCGCGTCGCCTTTTAAAATTCCTCAGCAATCCCAGATCTCTCTCATGGTGTTAGACTCAGTTTTTGTTATTAAACTATATAAATTGGTCAATTTTTTTTTAACTCTAAAACCAACAACTTCTTGAATCGCACAGAAGTTTTCTTATCGATTTGTGTACATGCTAAACTCGGCTTGACTCAGTGGATTGATATGGAAATTTGGAATCCGAACCCAAACCCTAATCCGAGCTAGATTTTGAATCAAACTGGAAAAAATATCGATTCCGATAGATTCCATCCAAGTTCGGACAAGAAAAAAAATGAATTCGTCTTAATAATAGTAACTTAAACTCAATTAACCCGATAACTCGTATGTTGACTCACCACTCTAATGACATTTACATGCTTTCCCATATCAATTATTGGCTGTACCTTTGAACTAGCAATGAATATAATTGCTGAAAAATGAGAAGATGCTCGTTACGTCCCTCACGGGTTCTCGTAAAGTGAAAAGGATCGCAAGAAAGGCCTTTTGGTATCTTCCTCATAAAATGGCAAAATCCCTTGTGGCCCCACAAATGTTTCTGATATTTTTGTGCCCTTGTGGCCCACCAAATGTTTCTGATATTTTTTTGAGCTGCCACGCTGACATTGAGTGATTGTTTCAATGTGATGGTCAGACGGTGGAGGTGAAGGTCCGCTTAGACTGTGAAGGGTGTGAGCGCAAAGTGAAGAGAGCACTTGAGGGCATGAAGGGTGTAAGTCAAGTGCTTGTGGATAGAAAGTCAAACAAGGTGACAGTCGTTGGATATGTGGAACCAGCAAGGGTGCTTGCTCGCGTGGCACATCGCACTGGTAAGAAGGCAGAGTTGTGGCCATACGTGCCATACGATACGGTGGCCCACCCTTATACATCTGGGGTTTACGACAGGAAGGCCCCTGCTGGGTACGTGAGAAGTAATCAGGACCCACAAGTGTCCCAATTCGCACGGGCGAGCTCCTTTGAGGTTCGATACACTACTGCTTTCAGTGATGAGAACCCTACAGCGTGTGCTGTTATGTGATGGTCGTGATTATAGCTAGTTTATTTTTGTGCTTTGATTTCAAGGCTTTTAATTATGTTTTTAATTTTCCTTTCTTGTTCGCTGTAGTCTTTATTATTCTGTATCTGTATTTTTTTTGGTATTTCTAAGAAATTAAATATTTGTTTGCTCTAATACATTATTACCACGATGCACATGCATTTGAAAGCCTAAAAAGCTAGTAATTGATTATTATCGTTTTTTATTTATTTAGAAATTATATAAATTTATTTTAAAATTGTAATTATCTCTGAAATAAATTTGTTTGCACCTCACAATTTCAACAAATTTATATTATATATGAGTTTGTTTTTGAGATAACAATTAAATGAAAATGAAAATGAAAATGAAAATTTTATTTTAAATAAATCTTCATTTTCATAAAGCTGAATAGGATCAAAATCAAAGTCCTAAATTTTAGCAAGACCATCACTATTATTTTGGAATTAAAATTAGAATACTGTTCTCAATCTTTCCTCTTGGAAGTGACAGAAGCGATTATCGTGCGGTTGTAATTCAGTGTCTATATATATATCTTAAATAAATGCTTGCTTTCTTAAATGCAATAACTTGAAAAAATAAATTGGAATAAGAAAACCGTCTTAAAAATATACTCATAATTAAAATCCAACCATCCAAGGAGTCACGACTCATGTAGTTTAGCGAGTCGAATCTTTAATGAAAACGAGTTTAAGCCTGTATAATTGGCGCGGCTTCAATCAAGTCTCGGACTCCATGTTTTTCAGGTCAATATACCAGGCTGGGCTAAATCAACTTGGGCTTTATTCAAATGAAGAACTTGGTCTTAGCCCATGTCTCTTTTCACATTTTTCGCGGGAAACTAGAAGACCCTAAAACTCCAAGTAACAGCACGCTCACAAAGGGAGGAAGCCAAGAAGAAAAGTATCTCGAGAAAGAAAACGAAAATGGCAAAGGTGGAGGATGATCAGGATGTCGGACAAGATCAACTTGATGAAGAATTCTCTGTATGGAAGAAGAACACGCCATTTCTCTATGACTTTGTCATCTCTCACCCTCTCGAGTGGCCATCTCTAACCGTCCAATGGGTACCACTCGCAGCTCCACTGCCTCACTCAACCGACCCGTCGTCTTTCTCCGTTCACAAGCTGGTTCTTGGGACTCACACTTCTGATGATTTCCCCAACTATCTCTTGATTGCTGATGCTGTGCTGCCCACTTCGGTCGCCGAAGCCAAGATTGACACTAGTGGCAGTTCTACGAATTCTGTGATTCCTAAGGTGAGATTTGGCTTGCGGGCCTCTTTTTCGTGCGAGTATCAAGTGTTTGATGAAATTACTAACATGAAATGCTTTTTATTGTTGGTTTTTTTTATGGGTTAACAGTGTTTTGATTCAGTTTTGAGCAAATTTCGTGATTCCGAAGTTGAAAGTTTAAATTTTGGGTTTTGTTTTTGTGCTTATCAGTTTAAATTTCGTTTGCAGCCCCAGGTCCGCGATTATTTTATGATTCAGGAGGTCAAAATTACATTTTTTTTTTGAGTTTCTTTGTGGGTGTTGTGTTTGATAAAATAGCTAGCTGAATGTTGTTTTTGAGTGTGTTCTCTGGGTTTTCAAGTATTGTTTTCTTAGTCCCCCGAGTCAAATTTTGGGCTGTAATCTACTAGCTGAAGTGTTACAACATGTGTTGTATTTTTGCATGATATGCATTTGATTGTTTGAACCCCTGCATTGCTGTATTATTTTTGATTGATTTTAACTATTAATTATCAACTGTTACATTTGTATCTGTCTTGAAATAGTTTATGTATTTGCTTTCCTTGCATCTGCGACATGCATTCTTATTTTCAGTTTCCAATGAATTGCTGAATGTGATTATTAAGTTATGGCGAGGGTGTTACTTTTTAGGTGGAACAAATAATTGAATGTGCTATATTTTTGTTTCAAGAACTGTTCCGTGAACATAAAGTTTTTTGCTGAAATTTTTGCATTTATGTATCATCTCCTCAATTATCATTTGTGACAAGTATTCTTTTGATGTCTGAATAAAAAAGAAACACGTAGCTGATTTTTTTTTTGGATTAATAGGTGGAAATTACGCAGAAGATTCGTGTTGATGGAGAGGTGAACAGGGCACGAAGTATGCCACAAAATCCTGCAATTGTTGGTGCAAAGACTAGTAGTTGCGAGGTTTATGTGTTTGATTCTACCAAACAGGCAGAGAGGAAACAAAGGGATGGCTGTGATCCGGATTTAAGGTTAACTGGCCATGATAAAGAAGGGTATGGATTGTCGTGGAGTCCATTTAAGCAGGGTTATCTTGTGAGTGGTTCACATGATAATAGAATATGTTTGTGGGATGTGTCTGCTGTTGCTCAAGGTAAAGTGCTTGGTGCGTTGCAAGTTTATGAGGTAACCTCAGGACCTTTTCTCTCCCTTTTAATCAATAAAGTTAGTCTTTACAATCATGGTGTGTGCTAAATGGTTCATTGTTGGTGTTGGAAATGCTTTTATAGGCCCATGAAAGCGTGGTTGAAGATGTGTCATGGCACTTGAAGAATGAAAATTTGTTTGGTTCTGTTGGGGATGATTGTCAATTAATTATCTGGGACTTGCGCACAAATCAAATCCAACATTCTGTTAAAGCTCATGAGAAAGAGGTGAAGCAATCTTGCCTCGATGTTTTTTGTATGGTTGTTTTTCTCATGTATGCATGTTTTATTGTCTTGGGAATACCTGCCTGTTCTACTTGGTGTAATATTAGTGACTTTCTTTTTGTGGCTTTGCTTGCGAAATCTTCATTTTGATCTTGAAATGTTTTTCTTTCTCATAACACTTTGTTTCTCGGAACCAGATTAACTATCTATCGTTCAATCCATACAATGAATGGATTCTGGCCACAGCTTCTTCTGATGCAACTGTTGGTCTGTTTGATATGCGGAAGCTGACTGTACCACTGCATGCTTTACGTAGTCACACGTATGTTTTCTACCTCTTTTATGATTTTGAATATAGTTGCATGACCACAGCTGTTATTCTGCATTCTGAAAGGTATTTACCCTTTTGGAATGCATTTATTCAACTTTGTCTTACAACTTTAGGAATTGTCTTTCTAATGTTTTAGCTGCGTTATTCAATTTTTCTATTTCAATGGGGTTTCCACGGATTACCAATTAGAGATGCAAATAGTTATAGTACACGGACATCTGAACCTTGTTTTTCGATTATCACTGTGCAGCTCCCTTTTCTTTATTGGTATCGAGAATGGCAAAATTTTCTGTACTTGCAAATTGATGTGTTTATATCATCTTATATTAACACTGCACCGGTGTTGTTTATATCATCTTATATTAACACTGCAATAAATTTTGTGACCGGTGTTGTTTAAGTTTTTGTTTATAAAAAAAGAGAGAAGTGATATGCATTCTGGATGGGCCTGCCTTCTGGCCCCTGGGTGGTGGCATTTCTTCTATATCTGTAGTTTGTTTCCCCATGGCATTGACTACTTCTATCTGTTACGATGCTTATTTCTGACAGAGAAGAGGTATTCCAAGTAGAATGGGATCCTAATCATGAAACAGTGCTAGCATCCTCTGCTGATGACAGAAGGTTGAACGTTTGGGACCTGAACAGGTATTTTCATCAGACATTTGTAAATATGTTCAACGATGGAGCAATTTAGTTTTGATCCATTTCCCTTTAATAGTATGACGTGGTTTTCTGTAATTCCATTTCTTTCTCATTCGATGTCCTAATAGAGAAAAAAGTCGATAATTTTTGCTTCTTATTGGAATAGTTGTAATCAACTCCAGCCATTGTTAGATTCAGTGATAAGAGATGCAGTTTGGATGATCTCTTATCCTTCTTCCTTCTATTAAATAAAAAGATGAATATACGGTACCTGAATTGCTAGTTGACTTTATAGCTTGGTCATTAGCAATTGCCGCTTACTACAGTGTTTAGCAACTTCAAGTGATCAATTATACGATCTCCAAATCACTGAATTTTCATCATCATATGAAGACCTTAACCATCTAATAAAATCCCTGTCCTTTCTGGTTTTATCGATAAGGGCTGGATATGTTATGAAAATATTATTGTATGTTCCATGAAAATTATCTAACCACTTATCTTGATGCTTTCAGGATTGGTGAGGAGCAGTTAGAGTTAGATGCTGACGACGGCCCACCAGAACTTCTTTTCTCTCACGGAGGTCACAAGGCCAAGATATCAGATTTTTCATGGAATAAAAATGAATCATGGGTCATCTCAAGCGTGGCTGATGACAATACACTTCAAGTGTGGCAAATGGCTGAAAGTATCTATCGTGATGAAGATGACATGGCATCTGCTGAGGAGCCACCTCTAGCTGAGAAATGAGCGAAAAGCCCATCTTCGTAGCTTTATTAGGCAACGAGACGATGATTTGTTTTTAACCTTTGCACCAAACATGGCCAACTTCTGTTAGTTTAATTATTTTATATGCAGTTTGTGCCCCTTCATGCTTAATACTTATTGACTGGAGATGAAAACCCGATGACTTTTACGTGTATCTCATGGGATATATATTTAGAACAGCACTAATATAACTGCTTCGGAAGTCACCTGGACCTGTATTTTTGCTACCCATGACAGGCATCACCACCTTGCTAGTGGCAGTGCTACCGACTGACTTTATTTATATTGTAAAATCGGGCACCAAAATAGTTCAAGCAAGCCATTTTACGGCAGATAATAATCTGAAATACCAAGTATCCAATGCTATTAAAACAATCCAAAGTGCATTCGACTTGGACGTAGAATCCATGATAAGAAAAAAAAAAAAAGACTTGGAGATAGAATCCTATTAGAACAATCCAATGACTTGAACATGGGAATCGTGATAGGGAAGACTTGGAGATAGAATCCTCTTAAAACAATCCAATGACTTGAACATGGAATCGTGATAGGGAAGACGTGGAGATAGAATCCTAATAAAACAGTTCAACTGTACCTTACACGCACAGACGACTATTTATATAGGGTTTAAGTACAACACATCAAGTATCATCTCTCACAAAAATCGAAGTATTAGCACCATGACTGAGGCTGGAGAATTAGCTAGGTTCTTAACCAAGTTATTTATGTGTGTGGCAGGCTTAGCATCTAGTGCGTTGATGTACCCGAATGTATGCATTGCTACAAGAAAGTATTACCCTACCGCTAATCATCACTTGCTATTCCTTTCCATGGTCACACCCCCCTTATGCGCAGCACATTGTTTTCTTCGATTCTTAGATCAACGAAACTTATCGGACTTGTTCTATAACAAGCAAACAGAACTCATATCCAGAACACGAGAACGACTTGGCACTCTGATTTACTTTTTACGTGGGTTCTATGGTCTATGGATCTACCTTAACGCCAACAACAGCACTGACATGGAGCCTAGCTTGGATCTTTCGAAGAATTTTGCTGCAATTTCCATTCTTGTACTCACCTACGTGAAGTTTATTGGAAAGAGTGAAGATTCTTTAGCTGTTGCCCGTGCAGTTATCCAACACAGTATTTTAGCTGCAATTCTTGCCATGCTCGATGGTTTAGACATGAAATCTTTAGCAACGGCACTTTCACCTATCATACCTTCAATCATTGTACTGGTGAGTGTGGTCTCAGTGTAGTTTCACGCCCCACCTCAATATTTGAAAATATCATATTTATTAATACGCATCAACCCCTCTCTCTGATTTTTTTATTTATTTTTTTGCCTTTTTTATGCTTAAGGTCACTCCTAAGATGGAGAAGCTCCACTTGGATGAGAACCTGGACGACGAGGGTAATTAATCTTCCTTGACTTTGTGCATATCAGAAAAAAGAAAGAGAAAAAAAGTTTTAGGTTAATAATTTTGGTGCCATTAGAGAAGTTAATATTGGCTTTTTTCAACTTACTCCTTAATGATGATTTGGTTTGGTTTCTCTTTCTTTCGACAAAAGACTTCTCTCTTGAAAAAACATAAATTCTAAAATGTCTCCGTTTCTGTTCTTGTCTCTGCCCAACCATTGTTAGTTAGTCTTGATCCTAATTCCTTAAATTCAATTCTTTTGCAGGTATATATTGCAAAGAATAGGAGACATAAGTGCCTTAATAACTCTCCTCAAGGCATGGCTTTTTTAATGATAGAAAAGATATTATCTCATGTAAGAGATGAAATTATCTCACTTGATTTCTTCGTTCAATAAAATTCTCTATTGTTATTCTGCCCTTGAAGTACTATTTTTAGAGTTTTAATTTCAATATTGATTCTCATGTACTCCCCTCCCTTGTATTCCTCGAATTTAGCGATTGATTTAATAAGTCCGCAAAGTGTAATAGCATCTCCTATTAATAGCCAAGAAAATTAAATGTTGAAATGGCTCTTTATTTATTGATTCTGACGAAATGGGATGTTAAAATCCCTTTATCCATCGTTAAGAACAAGGAATAAAATTGTTTTTTTAAAATCAAACACATGTTTAGCCAGTTATATTAAAAATACTTTAAAAAAATTTAATTAATTATTTTTTTGTTTTAAATTAATATTTTTTAATATTTTAAAATTTTAAATATTTTTAAAAAATAAAAAAAATATTATTTTAATATATTTACAAGTAAAAAATATTTTAAAAAACAATTATAATAACACTTTCCACTAATCTAATGTTAAAATTACCCACACTTGTCAAGTTTACTTTCTTCACTGGGAATTTTAATGTAAATCGTGGGAAAATGACAGATTGAGAGACTTCAAAGATATGCCCATTTACTAATATATATGACCGTCGACGGGCCATATAAAAAGCAATCAACGGGCATATTAGAAGTCAGATACATATTTGTTAGTTATTGGCTTCGGAGATGCTTCTCTTAATTATTTTTTTATAAACTCCATGTAAGGAAAAAAAAAAGAATTTCATAAAGAAAATCGAGTGAAAAAAGAGTGGAACTATTTATGGGAAGGTCCTGCATCCAAATTTTCTCTTTTAATAACTAGTGATTTTTTTACTTTTACGGGCCATAGAAGGGAGGCTTCTTCTTTAGGGAAAAGAAAGGAGGGTAAAGAGCTTGCCCCTTTGAGCTCAAGGACTCAGGGACGCGACAAGACTATAATTCATAGAGAATAAATTATAGTATCTTGGATGACAACAACACAGGACACATGAACTGATTAAAAAATATTTATTATAGATGAATTTGAAATCACACAAACAACCAGGCATGGTCAGTCGGAAAATTCACGGATCCAACATGAATAGAAGGCCTTGTGTTGCTCTCTCTTCACACAGATTTGGGAGGAGAAAAACACAAAAGCAGAAATGGTGCCTTTACATACAAGGGTGTAAGCAGCTCTGCTCAAATTGTGGGGTCAAGGAAGTTATATTGTGCAGTCATGATCTTTTTGCTTATAAAATTTGCTGCAGAACTAAACATGCAAACATATAACCAAATAGCCATCCATCAAAATTGGTAGTTTTCTGATTCCCTGCCACTCTGTAGCATATATCCTCACAGAAATAGTTACCCTACCACTCACTGTTTGGTCTTAATCTCGTGTTAGGGGTGAACCAAGAACGAGTGTACCTAGAAAACTAGATGAATTCTAGGAATGCTTTACACTTTGATAATAACCAAAGCGAATGGATGAGAAACTGTGGGCATCAGTTATTTGTAGAACTTTTATCAGATCTGTGTTTTTCTAAAGCACAGAATTCATTCTGATGTCATTATAATCCAAAGATATGCATTATCTAAATTCTAATTTTCTTCCTTCAATGACAAATAATAATAATAAAAAATCCAGTGAAGTGAAGCAATGTTGACATCCATACGGTAACAATTATCCTCCAATTAACATTATCTAGTTGGTCCAAAACTGCTGTCAATTCGCAACTTTTTTCGTGTCTCTAAATAAAATGAGCAAAAGCAAGAAAGACCATGTTAACTAGAGACAGAAGTTGAAAGGGGCAGTAAATTCAACTACCCCTTGAGGACCTTAAGGCTCTACTCCTCCATTTCCTTAGGAAGGGTGCATAAATAAGAAGATTAGCAGCTTTCAACATTAAATTGACAGCCCTTTCACTCTAAAAATACTGTTTCTACTTGAATAACTATTTAACACAGAATCCTCGTTTCCCTTGTTGCAAAGAAGTACCAAGGTACGAAACAATATTGAAGTTGGAAAGACGAACCTCACCATCCCTTGCTGTTCCTGTCTCAGTCATGACAAGCAGCAAGTTCTGAACGCAAATTTCACAATTCACAGGATGCTCGCATCGATTACAGACAGAAAATTGTTTGATACACTAAAGAAACGTCAAACACGCTCCCACCTTACCAAATTCTGTTCAGCACTGAGGAAATCATATTGCTTGAGAAAGTAAAAATTCTTAAACAAACTGCCAAAACTTGTAAAAAGACAGAGAAGAAAGGGGACCATATCAACAATATCTTCATCAAACAACATCACTCCTACTTGTTGTTAAGGTCAAGCTTGAATATAAAGAATACGGTTAGTTAAAGCTTTGTAAATGTAAGTTGAGCTTCATAGAAAACCATAGGTTGGTCTCCACTCACAAGTTCTGCTAGCAAAAGATCCATCAAGTCTCTCCATTTTACAAAGGATTTTTTCAACCAATTTCACAAACTAACCAAACACCAGCTAGGCAGCTTCAGCCGAGTAACCCAACACTTAGATGAAGAAATACACAAAATGAAAAGGGAAAAGAATTAAAAACTAACCAAACCCAACAAGGCATATTGATGAAGCTGATGCTGCCACTCAACAGAAGTACTTGGTGGAAGCACATGCATCCTCACTGAAAATGATGACCTCAGTTTGACAGTTCTTCAACTTACTGTTGCTTCACAAGCCCCTCCTAACAGGATGAAAACACCACAATCAGTCACAAAACCCAAATCTGGTTCATTACTCGATCAATGCGACTACAAGAAGACATCAGCAGTGTAGTCCATACCATTTAATACACCTTAACCTTATATGTGGCTGGAAAATACCATTTAATACACATGACCACACCTTTCTCCAGTTTGGGATTGTTTTTCCAGGTAACATACAATGTGAATGAGATGAATCTTTGGGACGAAACGAGAACAAGTGCCATAAGCAAACTTTCCATGGAAGTCTCATTTATATCCTTTTAACATTCACTCCATTCTCTATATGCAATCGAAGTCTTTTATCACTGGAATACATGCTTTATAGTTGCACGGTAAGCAAAACACAACAAGTGCTTGACCTAATTTCCAGAATTCATCCCACTAAAGTTTATAATAACAAGGCAAACAACAAGTTCTTCTTGAAAAAATAGATCAAACCAATTATACTCAAGTTGGTTGTTAATCAATGAGCTCATCCTACATCCACAGTTCGATTAAAAGCAAAATGTTAAGAACAATGAGTTTCACCTTTCCTCTTGTTTGCACTGGAAGAATTGCCATTCACTTCCTCATTCCCAATGCTACACCCAGGTAAGTCTCTCATTCCTGAATTCTGATACTCCATACACTGAAGGTTCTCAAACTCACAACTGTTAAACCCTTGTCCTTTCAATGCTTCACCTTCTCCACCTTTGCCATCCAACCCAGGATGCTGGCAATAAACCTGATCATCGCACCTTATATTACATGGATTCATCACAAGAGAACCAGGAAAATTGGTCAAATTCACATTATTAGCTGATTTCTGATATGGAAAAGATCCAATCTCCCCTTCAATTCTCCCCCTGATGTCTACAAGTAAACACTTGAGCCTTGCAACCTCTGCCTCCAATGCAGCCTGTCCTTGCAGCCTCTTTAGTAACTGTTGGTTCAAAGCTCGCAAACGCTTAACTTCATCCTCCAAAGAGGCAGCCTTTGCCTTCTTCTTCTCCCTATACTTTCGGACAGCCTCCCTATTGCCCAATGGCCGTTTCTTTGACTTTTTCTCTATGGACTCCGCAGTGTCTTCACTGTCAACCTTGTCCTCAGAAGAGGACAAAAGTTTTGTATGTGCATGAAAGCAAACGTGTGTGTGAGGATTATCGGGACCAGGAGGATTGCATGTGTGTGTATGAGTACAAGCATGAGGAGTATCCTTCAGTAGCTCATCCAAGAAACCATAAGAACAACTGCTTGGAAGATCATCCATATTCGGACTCAAAAACAATTCTTGGTTTGAATAATCTAACTCTCCATCGTCCATTATAGCACAAATTTGCCAAACAAAAGAAAGGCAGATCCAAAATCCGATGAAGCAAGTATAAATTCCAAATTTTGATGCTGAACCGGATGATAATTTCAATCGAATCCTATCTTTTACCAGAATTTAGTAACACCCAGATGAGAAATTTGTGAGCACAAAAATGCACTCCTAAGCTGTAAAAGATGGATTTTAAGTAAGCAACTCGGCAAATCCACCAAAACCCACACAAAATGCTAAAACATCACAAATTCAACTAATTCAACCCTGATAGCAATCAAAGCAAAAAAAAAAAACACAACTCGATCAATGGAAATAATTGTTCAAAAAAAAAAAAAACAAAGATTTACCACGAACATGAAATCGAAAGCAGAGAAATTAAGACAATACTTCGACAAAACCAAGGTTTATGTGGCAACGACCGAAAGAGAGAGATGGAAATAAAAAGACAGTCAAGACAGAAGCCATGAAAAATCATAACCATAATCATAAATAACCCTAAACACCAAGTGGCAGTTCCTCAAAAAGAAAAAAGAAAACTTAAAAAGGACGCTAATAAAGCTAAATAAAGTAAAAATGAGCGTACCAGAGACGATGAGTTTGGTCCTTATTCCATTAAAGACAGAGAGAGGGAACGAGAGATTATAGGTCTCCTTAGCTGTCAATTTATAGGTATTTGAGGGACTAGTACCTAAAATTACAAAAATATCGAGAAATTGTATGGTAGATTTTGTTTTACGGTGTGAAGACATTTATCGTGGGCCATCCTGGTGAGAGTTTTCTTTGATCTAAATCATGACCGTCCATTTTTTAGATTTATAAGAGAAATTGGTGTCTTTCTCCATGTAGAAGGTCCCCAAGCACTTAGATCGTGGAGCCCGCTAATAATTTATTAATTAGCTGTATATAAGAACATATTCCCCAGGTCAATTTTGTTAATTAAAAATGTTTTTTTTTTATTAATTTGTGATGGGTAATTCATAAAACTTCCAAGATAATAACGTTGTTAAATTAAAATTTGAATAAACAATGATTACGTGATAATTTTTTTATTTCTTTCCAAAATAAGAAAAATCTTATGAGAGGATTAGCTTGTGGTTTATCTCGAGAAAATTTGTGGATTATTGCATTTTGTTATAATGGAAAAAGAAATGGATTCCTGCTAGTTTTTTTCTTATTTTCAAGGTTAATATGCCATGTTTGTTTGTATATTTTAAAAATATTTTTTAAAAAATAAAAAAAATTATTTTTATTTTAATTAATATTTTTTTTAATATTTTTAAATTATTTTGATGCACTAATATCAAAAATAATTTTTAAAAAATAAAAAATATTAAATGAAAAATATTTTAAAAAACAATCACAACTATATTTTTAAAAAAACTTTTGATTAACTTTGTAGGTTATTTTAAGATTCAATTAATTTAAAAAGTGGATATAGGGGTTGAAAAAAAAAACTATCATGTTTTGATTAAAATAAAAATGTTTTTTTTATTAAGTTAACTTTTTTAAATTATGATTAGGATTTTATCTTGTTCAACCCCAACTTAAACTTTATAACTATAACTACAACTCTAAAATAAAGCCTTAATTATTTTAATTATCAATTTGATTTGTTATTTGTGAAGATTAAAATTTTCTTATGGATAATTTAAAAAAACGCACTCTAGCATATTTAAATGAATTTAATAATTCTATTGAACAATAGCTTAAAAGTTTAAACCAATAAAATAAAAATAAAAAACAAGTTTAACCACCAAATCAACTTTAAAATTAATAATAATAATGAAACACATAATCTTTTCTTGATTTTCTCATGAAAAAGAAAATATAAATTTATATGGTAAGAGTCTAACATCTTATATCATTCCACTAAAAAAGAATTAATTATTTTCATGCGTGTAAAAATAAAAGCTGCCATTTATCATTTGGTTTTGTAAACATGCAAATCAAATTGTACTTTGGATCACGCCCACATTAATGCAATATAATAATGAATTCCAAAATGCTAAATGCATTTGGATCACACCCACATTAATGCACACCATAAATTCAAATCCCCCCTCCCTCAAATTTTGATTAACTTCGAGGGAAAAAAAAAACTTTGATTTAAAAACAAACTGGAGATACATCAATTTGATACATGGGAACCTTTTTTTTTTATTTGATAATTAGATGATGATTTTTACCTTGCAAGCACCAAAATTATCCATTAAATCTGATCTCTCTAGACAGTTTAACTTAGGATTTGATAGACTTATTTTTATTTCTGACGACCCATTTAAGCTTTTGAAAATAATACTTTTTTAATTTTAATATTTCTTTATTAACTCAATTAATAATCATGAGTTGTAATCTAAACTTTACATATATATGTCTTTTGTATAGAGATAATTTTTTTTGGTTCGATTTAATTTTTATTAAAAGAAGTGACCATAACTAGTTTTTTTCAAAAAAAAACTAAAACCAAATCAAAATTAGTTCAAACTGACTGATTTCGGTTTGATTATTTTAGAAAAAAACTAGTTCAAACCAATTTGATTTAGTTTTCTAGATCAAAATTAGTTCAAACTGACTGATTTCAGTTTGATTATTTTAGAAAAAAAACCAGTTCAAATCAGTTTGATTTAGTTTTCTAGTTCGACTCGGTTTTTTTGTTATTTTAGTTTGGTCTGGTTTTTTTAGTTTTAAACTTATAAAATCAAAACCAAACCGAACCGGTTATTTTTTTTAAAATTCTAATCAATTTAATTAATTTTTTTATAATTTAATATTTTTAATTATTTATTTTTGATTTTCTCAATTTAATTAATTTTTTCAGATTTTTTTTCACCCTTGCTCCAGTATCATGGATCAGCCGCTTATTTGGATGAAAGCATGATATCTGAATTATAATTCGACTACTTAAAAAAAACATTATGGATTTCTGATGATCTGGCATTGAAGGTGAATCTGATGGGAGAATATAATCAGTCACTGACTAGATCAGTGCTATTCTTGATGAGCAACTTGATCTATAGAATTTGCAATTTTACTTTTAAATTGCAGGATTGAAACCTTGAAAGAGTGGAATCTAAAATAGAGATAGCTCGACGCCCAGGAGGTCGCTCATGAAAAAAATAAAATAAAAATGGAGCAGGTCCAAATATTGGAAAAGGGAAATAACATAACCCAGGAAAATCTCTCCAGCAAGAAAATAATCGTGAAAGGATCACAATTTATGTATTTGCTTCCACTATGTACAAAATCTCTGCATTCCTTCAATCAATCCCCTAAAATCACGCTCTTTATATGGAAACCCTCTATACTTCGCTTGAGTTTTAGGCTTAATTAGCTCCTTGATCTTTTATTAAACAGACTAGTAGTATCAACGAAAGCCAAAAACTATTCAAGTTTCCAAGAAACTGCATGTCCTGAACGCGGTTTACTTCGTAGCCTGATAATTTACACCAAATATCAGAAAATAAATTGTTGGTTTATCACAATTTTGCTAGTTTTGTGGTTTTTAGACAGCATAAATTAGTGTTTCGTGGTTTAAAAATTGTTTTAAGAGTAGAACAAACACTATGTCAAGGTGTATACGGTTCCCTCCACCAGGGTATGTGTGGAGCGGAGTGAAAGGGGAAGCCTTGATAGAGCTGATTAAGGTTAGTTATTGATTCTTAACTTTAGTTGATTCTTGATTTGTTTAGTTACAAGCCAGACCTTGAATCTTGATGGGTTCTTGTTATCATCATATATTAGGTATGGCGTAATTCTGACTTGCAATTTTGTGACAACGTTACTTGTATAGGAAGAATAAGTGGGGGTCTTAAGAGATTAGAGAGGGAGACAGCATAGTTGTGATTTCGTTCTTGATAGCTTGGCTTCAGGTTTTTTGGACCGAAATTAAGTTTATGTTGATTGTTTGGCTGTTCAGGGAATTGATAAAAGATAAACTTTTTAATTAGATGTTTTTATTTTCATTAGTTCAACTCGAAAGAACTCGTACATTTCAACTATCTTCAATTTTGAGTTTTTCTTGCTTGTTCAAATCCACAAGCTGTTGAAGTACTAATAATATGAAACTATGCATTACATTTGAATAAACTTGATTCTGAAATTTTTCAGAGAAGTAAGCTGAAATTATTGTGCTTGTATAGAAACTCAGGCTTTTTAATTCTTAATTTCCTCTGCATTTGCTTGATATTGCTTCCGAGTTATGTCATCTTCGTGTAAGTCAGTTTCCCAAGTTTAGTGATGGCCTTCTCCATTTTAAAGGTCAGGAGAGAAAAGGCCGAGGTTGAGAAGCGAAGGAAGAAAGAGGAGAAGAAGAAAGAGAAGAGGAGGCAGAAAATAGAAGAAGGATTGGAGGGGGGACAGCTTAAGAAGAAAAGGTATAATCCTCACAGAAGGCAGGTGCAAAACCGGAGCGAGGATGGTGATGTAAGCAGCTACTATCAAGCGAAGAATGAACATGAATTTCGAAGAACAGAGAGAACTAGTCTTGCCGAAGAGCTCAAGCAGCCTTCAATATCAGACAGCTTATATGACTCTTTTGGCACCTGCCAGATTACCGAGAGGAAGGGGCCTGAAAGGTGCCGAAGTCATGGTGAGTGCATTTCTATTTGCTACTCTTTCTGGATGTTTATATGTTTGTTCCTGATACGTGCCCTTTGTGTTTGTTAAAACAGGAAGCGTTTTTTGGATTGATATCCAATTGCAAGGGCATGAAGATCAAGATCTGGTGTTTGGTAAACCAGTGTGCTCTGTTACAGCAATGGATTTTCTTGTCCAAGAGAAATCTGAATTGCCCAAAAGCTGCACCAAGGAGGAGTTCTTTTCTACCTGCAGTGAGTCCACAACCACTGCCTTTGAATCGGATAGACCTGGTGTTGAGTTGTGCCATTCATGTTCTCAAACTGAGCTCATAAGAGATAGGAAGGCTGCATCGGCTCTTATATCCCAATACTCTGGAAGTGGCTTGCAGCATACAGAATTAAACTTTTGGGAGCTAGATGTAAACTGGATTCCCCTTCCCATGAAGAGCGGGAACCCAGAATTTGATAATCTAGGTTGGCTCTACGAGAGGAAGCCCGAGAGACTGCCTAGAAGTGATAACACTAAAATCTATAGAGCTAGCAATGATAGATTGTCTCACCCGATATCTTCTCTATACCCAACAGCTCAGTATTTGGCCCAAGCTGAGATATATGCCTTGCCATTTACAATACCATTCTAAAACTGTCACCTGAATCTGTGCATCTTTATTGTCTGTGTAAATAAATTTTTGTTCGTAAGCCTCTAGTATTTCTATACCCAGCTTTCCTATGATCAAAATGTGATTATCAGCTTTTCTATTCGCTAATGTTTTCAGTTGGATCTACATTACAGTGACAATTCAGCATAACACAAGCTTCTGTATGCTGAAGCCGTTTTCTGTTACTTTGTTTCTTTCCTTTATTTTTTTTTTGTGTAGAATCTAGATAGTCAAGCTATCACGAATTGTTGTTGCGTTGTTCATTTTTCTGCAGATTTGGATTCAGATAGAGCAAATGCCCTTGTCTATAAGAAAAATTGCAAGCTCCGTGTTTCTTCTGGTAGTCTCGAAGATTCAAAAAACAAGCTCTTGATAGACTTGAACCTTAATCCTCTCTCATTATCACTTTAAACAAGAATTTTACAAGTCTACATCTTCAAAACACCTCGCTGCAGGGCGTAAACCTTTTTTTTCCCCCTTAACTGTGCAGGCACAAGGTTACAAACTATTTGTACAGAATCATGTGACAACCTAGGCTCTGAAACAGGTAGTCAAGAATATTGAATAGAGTGCAAAGTAAACTAATTGAAGCTTGATGATCGGCTCCACCTATCTTTAAAATACTCCTCAATAGAAAGATTATTTCCATGCTCCCAACTACTAAATGATGTGGAATCATAATCAACATCAAGCAATGCGAGACTTAAATGTGACTCTGCACTAGAGTTTGGATAAACTTCATCATCATTATCCTGGTTTTCTGTAGCCTGAAGATCCTTATTTTGAGGGTTCGCCCACTTTTCCTGTTCTTTATCTCCTCTTAGGAGCTTCAGTATCTGAAAGAAAAAAAAAAGGTTAAGAAAATCTACCATGAAAAACAAATTAAATTTCCTGAGAATCCAGCCGCAGGTTTAAATTAGTACCTCACTCATTTTAGGACGTAGTCTAGCTGCTCGTGTAATGCAGTGTGTTGCTGCAAGAACCATCCGTTGCATTTGAACCTCATCAAAGTTTCCATTCAAGTTCGGATCCACTAAGCATATTGCATTCCCACTCTCTATTATTGGTTTTGCCTGAAACTCACAGAATTTACTGTTTTGATGCTTGTGATTAATAGAGATATATTATTTTGTAGTTGCGGTGACATTAGAAACTCTTACCCACAGGAGCAAACTCTCTTGGCTCTTGGTGTTCTCGGAACTAATTGGTTTTCTTCCTGATAGCAATTCAAGTAGAACTACACCAAAAGCATAGACATCAATTTTGTCGCTGACTTTCCCATACATGAAATATTCAGGAGCAAGATATCCAAATGTTCCAACAACATCGCCTTGAGTCACAAACGATGTAGTTGCCGGTCCCCATATTGCCAGCCCGAAATCCGACAACTGTCGAGTAGAATAAAAGCAAGTCATGCCATAATTTTGTGATAATTTTCATTTGTGGCTACCGATAATCTGCACGAGTCTCAGCAGAATACCTGTGGTTCAAATCCATCTGAGAGAAGAATGTTCGAAGACTTGACATCTCTATGAATAACAGGCCGAGAACATTCGTTGTGCAGGTAGTTTAGGGCTTCTGCAATTTTAACAGCTATATCGAATCTCAGTTCCCATGACAATGGAGATTTGTCTTTGCTCTTTCCTACACATAGTTTCACATCAGAATTGTTTCTGTCAAGCTTCACTAGTGAAGAAAAACATGTGCAGGTCGATAAGACTTACCATGTAAGTTTTCCTCTAAGCTTCCTTTAGATAAAAAATCATAGACGTAAATGAGATCAGCATCTTTGATGCAGGCATCAACAAGAGGTGTGATGTGCTTGTGGTTCAATGAGGAGATGATTTCAACTTCAAGAGCAAAATCTTTCATTGCTTTCTGGGATGATTTCTGAACCTTCACTGCCACTGGCTTGCCATCTGGAAGAATCCCCTTGTACACACTGCTACATCCCCCTTTCCCAATCAAATTTTCTGTCAGAAAGATTAGAAATTTTGTCAGGCAAGAGAGGAAATTCAATTAGTCTAATCTCATGTGATTGATTCAGGGTAAAAACCTGAGTGAAAATTCGAAGTTGCGCCTTTCAGAACCTTGTTGCATCTGCCCGAAAGAAAACTAGGTGAGCTTACTTTCAGCAGAATATCCGAGCCATTTTCTAGTTCACCTGATGCAGAAGATCTACTCCTATTGCTATCTTCCAAGATGTTACTTATCTCTCTTTCTTCTGCTGTTGAAACGCAAGGATCTTGTTGAGAGGAGCGATCCGGTAAGCTCATTGCCCACTGTACTACAGACAGTTTCCTGGAATGCAAGTTCTGTGGAATGGCTGAACTTGCTCTTCGGAGGAGGGGCCAACCAGGTCTCTGATCCAAGATATCACCAGAAAAAAGAGAATTTGATCTCTTCTTACGTACATTTGCAATGCGGCAAACTTCATCCTTTATTTCTCCAATCTCATCTCTTGATAGCAGTTCAAAACTAGATACTTCAGTATATGCTTCAGAATCTCCGAATTCAGACTGGATTTCTCTAAAACTTGAATTTTCATTTATATTAAAACTTGGTTTTGGATCTCCACCAAGGCCTGACATAATCGAAAGCAACATCAATTATTATCTTCTCAGGATCTGCTAAATGGATTTTTATTTTAGGACACAAGTACCAAACCTGGTAGTTGATTGTTGTTGCACCTTCTAAACACAAATTTTCCATTGTGGATGGCCATAACATCTGTGGTTCGACGCAGTCGCTTGGCGCAATACTTAGCAGTAGAAGCCCAGATCCTGAAAATGAAATCTATCTAGACTAATTAGAAAAGAAGCATTAAACCATGATTGATGCAGAACTTGCGTTTCTACCTGCCCCTACCTTAGAGCTGCTTGGCTGCTGATCCCCACAATTACGGCTACAGCAGCATAGTTCTTTGCCTCTCTAACCAGAGTCCTTCTAACCGAAATCCCTTTGGCTATCTGACCTGAGAGGCCTACCTACAGCCAAAGCAAAAAAAATCGTTGTCATCTGCAACTTTTACTTTCCCACCGGAGGGCCAGGAAAAAGTGCTACAAAGTTTTTGATTACAGACCTTCTTCATGGAACATAGACCATTATATACTTCTAAATAACTATCCAACAAAGGCTTGTCTCTCAAAGCATGGTCTGCATCAACAGCTCATGTTTCATCAAAATCATGCAAAACTTTTATAAAAAAATAGAAGAAAAACACCACTGAACTGTTGAAAGCATTACCAGAACTTCCACAAACATGAACAGCAACAACACAATCACCAGGTTCAGCAACCTTTGCAATAGCCCAGCTAAGTAGTTCTCTGCTATGACTATCTATTCTTATCCCAACTAACACATTCCTCCTTTCAGTAGCCTTAGCTTCCAGCTCCTCAACTGTCATTTTTTCTTTTATTCTCGATAACTTACTTCCACAACATCAAAGCATCCATGTAGATTCTCTTCCTCCTAGAATTCCCAGAAATTCTGCAAATTCATTCTCTTTAACACCCTTTCCACCCCTTGAAACAAGCGTTTCAGTCTCTGCAACACAAAAGAATTTACATGGTCATGCCCCACCACCATATCAGGCACTCACAGCTACCACATGAGAAATATAAACACAACCCATTAATAGATTCCCCGTGAATAATCCAAACTCAGAAAAAAAGAAGAAAGAAATCCTTTATCATTACATTAATCCACATGCTAGCTCACCATGAGATAAAACTATAAACATAAATACCCCAACAAGATCTTGAAAATACATATAAAAACAAAAGGTGAATCATACATAAGATAAACAAAACAAGACAACAAAAAAGATATGTACCTAAATATTTTTGTACCTATTTATTATTGTTCAAGACCACCATAGATTTTTTTTTTTTTTGAAATTGCCGCCAAAAATCACCACCCACTTAACTGATGAAACTTAGAAGATTATAATTTTTTTTAAATAAACTAAACATGAGTGCTTCGATGAAGATCAGTTAAACAAATGGGCTAATATGAAAAAGAACAGTAAAAGCCAGTGAAGAACAAAAAATGTAAACAGGTAAAATCTGGAGAAGAAAGTGTTGGCAAGTAAAGGGAAAAGTGGTCACGAAAATTTATGTGATCTGAAAGGAGAATTAAGAAAAAATTATGGGAAGTGGTGTTATTTAAAAAAAAAACAATAAATTATTTATATATTCTTTATTACTAATACTTTTAATTTTAGGTCGTTGGGAAACTGGCAAATTTCGCGGGAAACGCATGACAAGGGGGCTTGTTGAGGCTTAACCACCGGCTGTCTCGGGTTGCAAGGTAATCTAACCACATGCTTGAGTTATCTTAGGACCTTTTTTTTGCCCCATGCACATGATATTTGTCATCTTTTGCCAAAACTTAAGATCTAGAATTATTTTATTTTCCAAAGAGTGGGATAAATCTCTTTGTTTTGGAATGGAGAATTTTTTTATTAATTATAATATTTTCTCAAAGCATTTCGTGAAACTAAAGAGCTACTACATATTTAATTAAAAATTACATAATTAAATGATAGGTCAATTATTATTTAATTTTTAATTTTTAATATTAATATTTAATTATTTTTAATATTAATTACATGCAAAGTGGAGAAATGCTACCAGCCATTTAAATTAGGGACTTTTATTCATCATTAAAAAAATCTTGTGAGGTTTGGTGGTGAGTTGAATTTTCATTGATTCATGAAAGGTCTATTTTCATATTTGAAACTATGTTTGTCTTGAAAAAATATTAAATTAATATTTTATTATTATTTTAATTTGATGATATTAAAATAAATTTAATTTATTTTTAAAAGAATAGAAATGGCACTGCACCACAGTATTAACAACACACAAAGCTTAATAGTGTGTAAAAAATAGCTCAAGGATCAATTTGATTATTATTAATTTTATTTTCAAAAGAATGGATCAGCTGGTCTCCAATCAACAACCATTGTGGTTGACAATTCACAAAACAAACA